TAGTAATTTCAGAAGGCCTGACGTAACCTGGCCCCACTGACCTCTTACACCCCGTCTGATGACACTCCACCCACGCTTAGCCCACTCAGCAGTACTGACTGTTGGGTTCATCAAATGTGCCATGCTCTCCTTCCCCAAATCCACCTCAAGCCTACACTGCCTGGCTCATGCTTATTCAGTTCTTCAGGTTTAGACATCTTTTATTCCAGGCCAAGCTCCTCACTTTAGTCACTCATCTGGTAACTTCTGGATCCTTCTGTAACCCCTCTGAACTTCAAACTCCAAGAGGACAGAGAGGAGGTCTGCTTACTTCACGGATTCTTCTCCAGCAGGCATTGGCTCAGAAAATAGAGTATTTCCCAAATGAATGGTCCTGAATGTGAGTTGTTTGGTAAAGAAGAAAACCTTGACCTCTATGTTCTGTCTTAAGAGCTCAAAAATCAACCAGAATGTTTCTGATCTTTAGCCTGATAGTCTTCCTCTTTCCAAGAAACTGTGTTCTTTCTTCTTGAACTTTTCCTTTCACTTAACCTCTCTGGTAGGATTCTTTCTTAGGCTTTGGTTTTTCCATTTTCCCTGAAAGGCAAACATTTTTTCTTTTCTGCTCTGTTTGTTCCAAGAAAATTTCTGCAAACCTTGCCTCCATAAGAAATGGTTCTCACAGAGCCCAGCAGCCGGCCTGACCTGGCATGTGTAAGCTGCCCATAGGTTACTACTTCTTGATGGGCACATTTGTTACTATGGAGAGAGATGGACTTACAAGCAGAACCAGGCCAGCTTGGAGAAATTTTAAAGTGTTGAGTGCCTTTCAACTTATAACTGGCAGCTGGTTTTGCAAAGCTTTATAAAAAATATAGTAGAAAAAATCAACATGAGAATATGGCTAACAAGAGACTAACAGATTAAAAATGAAACTTAAAAGGAGAAAAGTACATTTAAATTCAAACAAAAGAATCTTTAATTATAATACCATAAATTCCTCTGTATCTGAGCAAAATCATACCAAATAATTCTATGAGAAGAGAAATCGTTTGGATTCACATTTTTTTCTGAGGAATTTTTTGTGAAAATATGAAACCTGCAATAATAATAAGCATAGTTCTGTCCGTGTTATGCCCTGTATCTGTGCATGGTGTGAGTGCTGTCAGACGCGCCTCACACACGGGAAGCCACGGGCTTAATTAGGACATTATCTCAAGATCCTAAGAAAACAAAAACCTGAACTCAGAAAGCCCAATGGTAGAGTTCACTGGACTACACAGCCTCTCATATTTTATATACAAACAGACATGTATAACATTCATAGTTAAAAAATAACACAAACTATATGCCTGCCATCTACTTAAAGGTACAGAAAATTCCCAGTAAGTCTTAGAAGCCTGGGGCCCCTCCATAAGCACAAATCCCCATGTCTGTGCCACCTCTCCTCCCAAGGCAACCACTGTTCTAAATTTTGGTTAGTTGTTTTTCTTTTTAAATTATAGTTTTAATATCTATGTCCCTAAATGACATATGGGTAGTTTTTACTTCATGCAAATAGAATATTTTTATCATCTATGACTTGCTTATTAAATGCAACATGATGTTTTTGAGATTCTTCCCTGTTAATAAGCAATAGCTTTGGTTTATTCCTTTTGAGGGTTGTATCCTAATTTTGTTTATCCATCCTGCAATTGGACATGTAAGTTATATCTGTTTTTTGTAATTAAAAGCAATTTTCTGGATATATTTTGGCACGACTGATGGCACAACATTTTCTCCAGTGAAGAAGGGTCTCCAATTTTAGCAGCATTAGAATCACTTTTTTTTTTTTCTTCAGTACTGGGGCTGAACTCTGGGCCTCCTGCTTCCTAGGCAGGCACTCTACTATTTGAGCCACTCTGTCAGCCCTTTTGCATTGGTTGTTTTTGAAATGGAGGTCTCACTTTATGACCAAGGCAAGCTTGAACCATGATCCTCCTGATCTCTCTCTCCTGAGCATCTAAGATTACAGGTGTGAGCCACTGGTGCCCCGCCAAAAAAATATTCTTATTAAAGAATATGTATATGTTCATAATAACTTACATTTTAGTTAATACTGCAATTGAGTTATTAATTTTTGTAATCCTAATATTATTCCTCATTTATGATTAGTCTTTCAGAAAATTTATCTACTTTGTTAATTTATTATCTTTTTAATTGGTTCTTGGTATTGTGGTAAAACATACATGAAATAAAATTTACCATGATAACCATTTTAAAGAACCATTTTAAAGTTTATAGTCAAAGTGCATATTACTGTAGCATTTAGTATACTTATTGTTGTTCAACCATTACCATCATCCAGCTTCTGTACTTGTTCATCTTTTCCACCTGAAATTTATTATCCATTAAACACTAACTGGCTGTTTTTTCCTTCTTCCATTCCTTGGCAACCACCATTTCTACTTTGTCTCTATGAACTTGATCACTCTAGAACCTTATATAAGTGGAATCATATAATATTTGTGCCTTATTTTACTATATAAATGGAATCATATAATATTTGTGCCTTATTTTACTTATATGAGTGTGAGGTGGTATCTCATTGTGGTTTCAACTTTTATTTCTCTACCGTGTTAGTTATTTTAAAGACTCAAATTTTGAATTTATAGTGTATTTTTATTGTATATTTTTTTCTATTTTGTCTTTATTTTTTCCTTTCACAGCTTTCCTTGGATTTATTCTGCTCTTTTTACTTTTTATATTACATGTTGTTACTGAGCTAAGGACCACAGACTTAAAAATTTAAAATTAAGATCATTGTTTACACAGAGCTGCTGGTAGACAGTTCCATTCCTTTGGATGCTTAAGAGCCTTGAAGTTGTAAGAATTCTTTTGTACACTCTTATGTGGGGAGTAAAGGCAGAACTCACCAAGTAATTCATGTCAGCTCTCCAGGTTTTATTCTAAGAATCTTTTTTTTTTTTTTGTGGTTATGAGTCTCACTTCCTAGTTTCCTTTTTCTGAGGTCAGGAGTCAGGAGCTTGTGGTTGGGGATTTGCATGACCCAGGGGAAGCTCTGGGTTACCTCATGACATGGAGAGAAGGTAGTCACTTCTGGAGGGTCAAAGGTGAGTAGAGTCTTGATCTATGCTTAGCTCATTAAACTAGAAAAAAAGGAAGGCTCAAATTTCAGCCTTTAAAATTTTGATATGTAGTACTATTATTTAGGCCAAAGTAATTTTTAATTTTCATTATAATTTTCTCCCTTAATTTGTAGGTTGTTCAGAAGCTTGGCTTTTTATTGTATTTGGATTTCTTCCCACCCCCAACTGCTTTGGAAGTGATACTTTCTATTACACTTTCTATTTTTTTAGTAATTCCTTAGCGATTTAAAATTATTTAAAAGTTAAATACCTTTAACCTGCTCTCAAATGGAAAAAACCATAACATATGTAAGCTATTACTATCCCTCCTTTCTAATTTACATGCTATTTTTATCCTGTAATTTAGTTCTATCACTTTTCATTTCATATACCAGACATTCCTATTACTAGTTTATATAGTCAATGTATGTTTAAATATATCCATGTATTTACTTAGACTTCAGTTTAATAATCCATTTACTTTTCAGTTCTTCCATCTGGGATCATATCCTTTTCTTACGTGAGTACATCCTTCAGAATTTCTTTCAGAGATCAGTTGGCAGTAAGATTTCTCAGTTTTTGTTATGCCTGGAAATTTCTTTACTTTATCTTCTTTACTGATAGTTTTAGTACATATGAAAAACTTCCAGATTGACAGTTTTTTTCGCCCCCATTGTTGCATTTGAAAAACTAGCTGTCAGCCGAGTCTCATTCCTATGTCTCTGTTCGGTCTTTTCTTTCTGACTGCTTTAATATCTTTTTTTTGGTGGGAGGGAGGTTTTAAAACTTTTCATTTTCATCAAGAAATATCTACTTATGATTTTATTCTCTCTTTTGCCTGAGATTCGTTGGACTTTCTGGATCTTAGGTTTAGTATTGATCAAGAATTATAGAATCCCTTTCCCCATCTTCTATACTATTTCCTTATGGAATTCTATATAAAACATCTTAGGTCATCTTCCCCACTCTTAATCTTATTTCACATTTTCCCTTTTTGACTCTCTGAGCCATATCCTAGATTTATTCAGATCAATTTTCTGGTTCACAATGTTCTCTTTAACAACCTCTAATCTGTTTAATTCACTGAATATTTATTAAGACAATTTCTCACTGTGTGGCCCAGGCTGGCTTCAAACTCCTGATCCTCCTGCCTCAGCCTCCTGAGTGCTAGGATTACAGGAATGTACCACCATGCTAGCTGTTCCATTTTCTTATTTTTAAAAAATCTACATGGTTCTTTTCATAGTCTCTAAACCTTATTCTTACTTTTAGTGGTCTTAAAAATATCTGAAGCATGTTAAAATATTTTATTTTTTTGACTAATTCAATAAAGAAGTATTTATAGGTTCAACTCATTGTTATTTCTGCTAGTTTTTACTCATGGTGACTTATCCTAGTTAAAGCTGGTTTTCTCTAGAGATGATATCTATTTATTTTTTAGAGTCTCTGAGGGTTGTTTAGGATCAGTACATTACCACTGTATTAGGAAAACCTATTTTAATCTCTCTCCCTTCCCAACATTTCTCAAAAGAAACAATTTCTCTAGTGGATGAAAAGCAATGCTGGGAAGAATTTGTCACTACCCCTATCAGCATGATCAAAGTGGGATTATCACTACTTGGAGGATAAGAAGTAAGAATGTGAGGAAGATATGCTGCTAAAATAGCTAACAAATCAAATTCTTTGCCATCTGCATCTTGAGTCAACTCAAGGAGGATTTTTATTTGGTCAGGAAAGTAATAAAATATGTAATCCCATCTGCAGTTTGGTTACTGAACCATTCTTATATCAGCCTCTATTATAAAACTTGAATGAGGAAATTGTATAATGGTTACTTCAGTTGTTATTCAAGAATGCTTAAGAAACAAACCCACAATTATAGAGTGTACAAACCTGTGAGGGTCATCTGGATCACAGTTAGGAAGAAACTGAGTGATTGCTTCTGCTACTTCTTCATTTGATAAAACATCCCAGAGTCCATCAGTGGCCAAGATCAGCACATCATCTGCTCCATGGTCATATTTAGAGAGATCATAGATTCTTACCTGAAAAGAACAGGAATAGTACTATTTAAGAAGCTGGGAACATACTACTTGTTTTCCTAACAAATTGAATTCTATTTCCCCTTCCCTTTTCCTGCCTAAGCTACTGGTTTTCAAGGATGCACTGTAAGGTACTTGATGATGCAGCAAGCTTTGTAGCCAAGGGTAGCCTCCTTTGGAGATTTGCTATACAGACATATGGGTCCATTCACAACCAAAGAAGTGTGCTCTCTAATTGACAAGAAAGAAATTAGTTGACAGTGTAATGCTTGAGAGATAGTTGGAATGATGATTTGATTTATCATGGATGTTGTGCTAGTCAGAGGATCAGCAAGGGGCTCCCTTGCTGGTCTTCCTTTGCATATTCATTTAGCAAACATTTGTTAAGGACCTACCCTATGCCAAGTGCTATAAATACAAAGACAAATAATACATTTTCTTGCTTCTGAGGAGCTCTCAGTCTGTGGGAAAGACAAAGCCAGTTTGGGATCTTTAGTAATGGCTCCATAAGTATTTGTCTAGGACTAGGGAGCTACTTTATTTAATACACTCATTCAAAACACTTCTTGCCTTACTTGCCAGACTCCTCCCTTGTAAGAATGGGGGCTCTTAATACCACACTTGTGTTTGTTGAGACCCAATGTAGGTAAGTCACAAGGACACATGCTCAATGTGACTCTCCAAAGTTTGTCTTTCTTCCCCTCTAGAATCTTGAATGACTTGAATATTTCACTATCTACCTAAGCTCTTAAAAAAATAAGCATCTCTGGAAAACTAGTAAAAGTGGAGCCTCATTTAGGCTTGGTCACAACTACTTCAGTGGGCTGGGTGGAGTCTGGGGTTTCAGTGCTATTCCTTCCTAATTTAGCAGAATCAGGCCCTGATTATACCACCTCAGGAATTAGGGATGAAAGAAGGTCAATGTAATCAACTCCCTCAGTCCTCTATCTTATTTTCTAAAACCAAGTCTGTGTGGAAAACTATAGATCAGGCAGTGGAAAAAGGAAATAGGATGGATACAGCATAAGTTGCTGCTCATATGCCCCACCCATCACACAATCAATGTTTGTTCATCTCAGACTTAGAGACAATGGCATTGTAAGAGGCCTTCCGACTGTTCAAATCTAGATCTTTGACAGCCAAGTCTCCTGTGTTTTAGAAAGGTTTGCCTAGGCTATTGATGCCCTGTGTGGGGCTGGTCCTAAGGATTAGCAGTCTATACCCAGCAGCAGAAAATGACAGAATGCCTACCCATAGAACCTTGGTAAATGAGCTCAAATGAAAAACAGCCACCAGGTGCCAGTCCTCTGTGGCCTGCAGATTTGATGGTAACAATTAGCTAATGGCCCAGTACACAAGCCACACCCAGGGGAAGAGCACTTGGGGCATACAGCACTGGCTTTTAACGTCTTCTCAAAAGGCAAGCTCACTTAAGGCTAAGTTTACATTCTGGAGAGGGCACTGAGCCTTATGAGCCAAATGAGAAAACAAAACAGGAAAGAAGAGCTTCAGCTTCTAGCAGATGGGAAAGTCCCAAATGCCAGAATTCTATCCTTAAGCCATTAAATGTCCAGTTTTCCCTAGATGGGAAGCAACCAAATCTCTTTTGCTTTATTTCCTGTGGTTTCTGGGTATGCTGGCGCAGTGCCTCGCAAATGTTAATGTGCACAGCAACCAGTTGGACCTCCAGTTAACATGTAGACCCCACTTCAGTTCTGAGGTGGGGCTTAAGAGTTTGAGATTCTCCCAGGTGATACCAATGCTTCAGGTCCATGGACCACAGTTTGAGTATCAAGACAACAGAAAATTCCTACTGGGCCAGGTTTGTAAACAAGGAAACCAAAGGCCTTGTGATTTTCAGAGGGCTACCTAGCCTGCTCCCTAGGGGTACTGAAAGGGCATTAAATGTCACTCTTAGGCTCCCAACTTCAAGGCCTGCCTCACTGTCTTGTTATTTCCACGGTTCATGAGAAGACTGCTAGCTTCTTATTGGAGTATAGCTACCATGATTTCTGTGATAGTTTGAGGTCCACTGAATAGAAAATATTTGGTAATAAGAAGTGGGGCCCAATCTTACACTTTTTAAAAACAGTTTTATTTATTTATTTTTGGCTGTACTGGGGTTTGAATTCAGGGCCTTGTGCTTGCTAGTCAGGCACTCTAGCACTTGAACCATGCCCCCAGCCCTGAATCTTATACTTGTAATTAAATATGGGATTCTTGCTTGTCAGCAATTTTTCAAGAGATGTTCCCAGGACTGAGGATAACATCCATTTAATATCATGACCTGCCCTATGAGTAGTGTGCCAAAACCTCTTTGAATGCTTTCTGCCGACCCAAGAAATGTGACAGGTTGAGTCCTTTAAGTTGACAGTGTCCAGCCCACCACCCAAAAATCTGGCCAACAGAACCATGTGAACTCATACAAAACATGTTATAAAATGCTACTCTTCAATTCCATCAATAAATGGAATCCTTCCCTAATTCTATTCACATTTCCACTCACAGCGCACTAATGCAGTTTCATTAGCCAACATGAAAATCCCTTTCAATACCATTTTCCACGTAATTTTTATGTAAATAATAAAAAGCTAGTAGGACCCCATTCCCTGAGGCACTCCTCAATTAACATCCTTTTAGGTTTTTACTGCTACCCTTTGTTTCCTGCCCTTTAGCCAATTTCCAAAGGACTCTGCCAACTTTCCACTTACATCTCGTGTCTTATACATTAACCTATGATGCAGAACATTTTGTGAAAACGCTTTCAGAAAAATTGGACTGCCGTGCAAGCCATCCCCTGCTTGCTCATCCTCCCCAGCAGCAAGGGCTTCAAAGGATTCCTGCAGGCTGACCTTCCCTCCCTGAAGCTGTTGTTGGCCGTTCTCAATCAAACCACTCACCTCCCCAAAGTTTCCCCTGATCAGTTCCTAAAATAGCTTCTTCATGTTCCTGGAAGCCTTATTTCAAACTAATGGGCTCTGAGGCTCCCCAGGGCTCAGACATTTGGAAGTAAGATTCTGCAGGCCCAGGAGGGGAGAGGTGCATACAGATACGCCTTTGTGAGAAGGGGCCTGGAGAACGTGGTCAGCACTTCTAATGGTTTCTTCCCTTATTTTCATCTGCCAAGAAAGGAAGGGAAAGGCCTCACGAATCATTGAGTCTTGCAGCTCCTTTACAGCAATAGACAGATGGTCCTTGACTTACACAGGGATTGTGTCTCCAAAAGCCCACAATAAAGATGAAAGTATTGGAAACTGAAAATGCACTTAATACACATGACCTACTGAGCGTGATAGCTTAGTAACACATACAATGTAAAGTACTGTTGTTTATCCTTGTAATGGGTGGCTTGATACTGCTGCCCATCACTGTGAGAGAAGATCATACCACATACTGCTAGCCCCAGAAAAGATCTACATTCAAAATATGGTTCCTGCTAAATGTACATGCTTTTGCACTATCATAAAAACTCAAAATATCATTAGTTAAACCAGCCAGGTTGGGACCATCTGTAAGCTGAGCAGCTAAGAGATGGCGTCTAGTGGACCCCTCTGCCTTTATTACCTGTTTATTGAGCACTTGTTACTTCCCAAGCACTGGGGAGAGAGTATACAAAAGTGACAAAGTTTCTCAAAAGTTCTAAACTAGTAGATGAGATAGACACCAATAAATTACAGTGGCAGAGAATTAGAGGTGCTCTGAAGAGAAATGAAACAGGGATAAGAGTGACATAGAATTGCTTCAGAAGATATGGGCATGTGGGCCTCTTTGTAGGTGCCACTGGACTAAGGCAGGTGACTTCCTGTTGGTCCCTTCTCACAATTTTTCTTCCAGGCTGTTACTCCTCTGGAGTAAGAGTATATATGGGCTGGTGGTGAGGCTTTCTGGAGTAAGAGTATATATGGGCTGGTGGTGAGGCTTGAGTGGTAGAGAGCTTACCTAGCAAGCACAAGGCCCCGAGTTCAAACCCTAGCACTGAAAAAAAAAAAAAAAAAGAATGTGTGGACACAGTGTTAGACTGGCGGTGAGGAAGGAGGGCTGAAAGAGGCAGAAGTCACCCTCAGTTGCTACAGACATCTTGAGGAGGACCAAGGAACAGTCATTGTCCTTTGCCTTGGTCTTCTGTAGGCAGCAACTTTCAAGTCCACTAATACGATATTTAACTATTTGTGCACCTTTCTGTCACTTCTCCAAGATTAGTTATCCTGAAATTTTTTGTTACTTATTATTTACTTTTAATCACTTTCAATCAGTACAGAACTTCACGTACTACTTCCTGCACATCATTTTAGCAACCTGAGAAAAACACAAGTGCAGAATATCTATTGCCTGATTACTGGTGCAGATTAAAAATAAACAAATAGAACACCCAGTCCCTGAAGGTGCATAGTTAAGTCTTAATGTTATGTAGGTTATCAGTTTAAATATTCTTTACTTAAAACTATAGAAAGGAAGCTAATCACAGTGAGTGATCTAGTTTGTTCCCCCTTCTATTCTTATTGTGACTGCCATAATTTTAAGAAAGAAATTACATTCCTTTATGCTAAACAGGTAGGTGCTTTATCATCATCATTTCAATACTCATATGAGTTATTCTATCAGCTTTTATAATATGGTAGGCTCTACTTTTAAGGAGTACAAAATGCAGAGAGAAATGATACAATGAGCACTGATAAATGAATAGCCAAGTTATCCTGAAATTTTTTAATGTGTTTAAGAATCACATGGGTGCTATTTAACCAAATTAAGATTTAACAGTCTTACCTTTAAAAATTCTGATTATGAGGGCTAGAGGCACGGCTCAAACAAAGCCCTGAGTTCAAACCCCAGTAATGCCAAAACAAATAAGCACTAAAAGACTGCCAAAAATTCAGATTGTACAGATTTGAGTTTGGACTCAGGCATAAGTGTGAACAAGAGCCTCAGGTAATTATGATGTAAATGGTGGGGGAATCTTACCTTTAAAAACTCTGTAATAGCTGGGCATGGTGTTGCACATTTGT